GCCGCGCCGAGCCTGAGACGGCGCCGCCGGGCCAGAGGGGGCGCTGTCTTCGCCGCTACCTTCGCTCTCCGCGCCGGGCCGGGCGAGCCAGGGGCCTGCGTGGAGGCCGGGAGGTGCCAGGCTGGCCTGGGGGCGCTTCTGGGGAAACCGGGCCCCAACCCCACACTCTCTCTCCGCGGTCTCAAACGGCTCTCCGCTTCCCTCCTTTTGTCGCCGTCTCCGGACACCCAGCGTCCGCCCTCCAGACCGTGGTACGGCGAGCGCCGAGGGCCAATTCTCGCGCCGCTAGCCCTCCGCCTCCCAGAGCTCTCCAGCGCGGCCAAGCAGCCGGAGGCTACAGGGCGGCCGCCGGCTCCAGCCTGCCGGGCTGGACACCCATGGGGGCCGGGAGGGGAGGGCCTGGGGACCGGGCACACAGAGCCTACCTCTGTCGCTGAGCGGAGCCGCCGCGCCGCAGAGGCCTCCCCACGCCGGGGCCCCGCCGCACCGGTCCGGGCCTCCGCGCGCACCTCCCGGGGCCGTTCCGCCGCCCTCCCGCGCCTGCCCGCGCTTACCCTGATCTCGGCGGCCGGCCTCCCGCAGACCCAGCCCGCGACCCCCAGCGAAGCTCTTGCAGGCACCGCCGCCGCCGTGCAGTCCCGCCCCCGCTTAAAGCGGCCGCGCCCGCCGCGGGAGAAATAGGTCCGGGCGCACCGCCCCCAAGTGGGTGCGGCCTGGGCGGGCGGCGGGAGCGGGGAGGGACGTTGCGCCCGGCGGAGCCCGCCTGGCCTTTAAACATCCGCCTGGTGGGCGGGGCCGCCCTCAAGGTTGGTGAGGCCCGCAGGTGCCGGGATTCTTTGGGCCCCTTCTGCCCTAAATATGCGCGCGGGAGGCAGGCCTGGGAAGGGGAGGGGAGGGACAGCGGGGGCTGCTGCAGGGGGGTGGGCACCCGAGGGGCTCCCTTAGCAGGCGGCGGTCGGGCCAGGGAAGAGTCCATCCCTGAACTGAATGTGGCAGGCCGGGCGGGGTTTCCTCCCTCCTCCCTTCCTGGGGTCATTCTTAACCATTCGAAAGGGGAGGAGGTAAGCAGGGGCCTTGGGAAGGCGAAGGCGGAGACAGACAATGAGACCCCGTAAGCAAAGGAAAGCCCCGGTGTTCTGCTTGGAGGTGGTGGGCCTGATCATTTGCCCCGCAGCTACATCACCCAGAGGCTGGACCACAGACGATCTCTGTCAGCTCCTACCTGGTGGGGCAGTGATGAGAAGGAGGGGGAGTGGGGCAGAAAGCCCTGATGCCCAAGTGAGATGGTGTGGGCAGGATCAAGACGACTTAGAAGGGAAAAGTACTGTTGGACCTCACCTACGACTCCATCTAGAAGAGTGGTTGAATAGTGAGCGGCTCCTGGTTACCATGTTAGATGGACAGAGCAATAAAGTGATGACCTCTCTCCCCCACCTCCAGGACCTGGCTCCACCTCCTCCCCTTTCATGACAATATCTCACCCCCCTCCCCCATCATCACTAAGTTACCAAAGTCTTTGCGTTCCCTTCCCAGACAGATACATTTCACACTTTGTAATAAATGCAGCTTGCAATACCTGCAACGTATCTCGGAAGAAAGGGACCTTATTCAGAAGCATGCTTCTTGTTTAAAAATGTTGCCACTCAAGAACAACCCTCTGTTGAACTGCTGGGAATTTATATGAATGTATTTAGTGTCACTTATTTCTGCCCTGGGAGAAATAAAATGGGTCAGAATACCTTTTCCCCCATGGAAAAATTTCTTGCAAGCAAAATCCTCTCTACTCCTAACCGCCCCCCCCCAAACTAATAGGTCCAAAGTTGGGGAAGTTTTAATAATCTGAGGGCTGAAATCAGTGTGAAGACAGTTATTGTTTCATATTGTTTGGTGGGAAGGGGGTGGAAAAGAAAGCAGGAGATAGATAAATCTTTTGATAAGTTTCAAATTAATTGCACAGCCTAAAGTCTTATAGTTAAGTCTAGCTCTAATATTGGCTAATTCCCAGCACTTCTCATGGCCCTAGCTTCTCCTAACAAAGTACCCAACACACTATTACGATTTTTGCCTGCTTTCTTGTCCACCTCCTGAACTAGAGGTCAGAGACAGTGTCAACTCCATCCCTATCAGGTAAATTAGATCACGCCCCTCCTCTGCTTAAAACCCTCGGAAGACTTCAGCTCAGCCTCATTTCCTGGCCCTATGTACCTCCCAACCTCACTCTTCATGTTCTAGCTGGAGTGGCCTTGCTGTGCCTCATGCCCACCTAGGACCTCTGGAATGTTCTTTCCTCAGAGGCACACAACTGACTCCTTGTCACCTTGATGATCTCAAATGTCACCTCCTCAGAGACAACTTTCTTAAAGCCCAATGTAAGAAAACCACTGTTTCTTCCACCACCACCCCCATTCACTATCTCATAATACTGTAATACTGTAATAATTTCACCAGGGGAAATATTCAAAACACTGTATTTTCCCCCCCAATAACCTCGTAATCTGAACATCAGTTTCAGGGTGGCCTTTGCAGTGGCTTCTGTGACATAGATAAGACTATCTGTGACTACTGTAAAATTATTATTCAATGCAATCAAGTGACACATAAAAAACCAAAATCTTATTATTTTGTTTTCTGCATTTAGCTCAATTTTTAAAAAATTTTTAAAGATTTTATTTATTTGAGGGGTGCCTGAGTGGCTCAGTCGTTAAGTGTCTGCCTTCGGCTCAGGTCATGATCCCAGGGTCCTGGGATGGAGCCCTGCATCGGGCTCCGTGCTCTGCGGGAAGCCTGCTTCTCCCTTTCACACCCCCCCCCCCGGCTTGTGTTCCCTCTCTCGCTGGGTCTCTCTCTGTCAAATAAATAAAATCTTAAAGAAAAAAATAAAGATTTTATTTATTTGAGAGAGAGAAAGCGTGCGCGCATGAGCTGGGGGGAGGGGCAGAGGGAGAAGCAGACACCCCACTGAGCAGGGAGCCCAGCGCAGGTCTCTGAGATCATGACCTGAGCCGAAGGCAGATGCTTAACCAACTAAGCCACCCAGGTGCCCCTAAAACAATTTTTTTTATATTTTACTTTTAAGTAATCTCTACACGAGCATGGGGCTCAAACTTAACAGCCCTGAGGTCAAGTCACATGCTCCACCCACTGAGCTAGCCGGTGCCCCTGCATTTAGTTTGTTTTAAAAGCCACTAATAACCAGACCTTTGAATAATGTTAGTTAAATATTTGAAACTCGGCTTATAACCTTAAAGTATTTTTTTTTTTCCCAACCACAATTTTCTCCTCAATTCCTGATGGACAAGCGAAACTCTCCCAGGTCTGTAAGCAATTCCAATGATGACAGCCAATACTGATAGAATGCAATGTCTAAAGCACTGTTCTATGTATTAACTCATTTTGTCCTTGCTACAGTCTCATAGGGCAGGAACTATTTCCATTTTAAAGAAAAGGAAAGTGACTTTCCCAAGGTCACATAACTCTCAGGGAGCATCCAAAGTCTCCGGCTTCCTAGGCCTGGTATTGTCCCCACGATGGTGATTGATGCTACTGGGGGGAGGAGGGGGCCGTGACACCTGTCTAGCACTTTCAACTTTCCTAGGGGGGGCTCACTCAAATCTGTTCTCCCTCCATTAGGGTGAGATGGCAGGGTGGCCAGTGAGCCCATCCTCAGTGGAGGCCACCACTGTCCCAGAGACAGAAGCCATACCTGTAGTTGTCTTCACTCCCATATGGGATTCAAGTCATGGTCCATCCGTGCCCACCAGGCCTGAGGGGGTTCATCCAACTTCCCTCCCTGTAGGTGGGATCCCTTGTCCAAAGTACAGAGTTAAGCAAAGGCAGAGATGGGACAAGGATCCAGGCCGCCAGCTTCCAGTCTTGAAGACCAGACAGGAACAGCCACCTTCTAGAAGGAAAGACATGCTCCACTCTATTACGTTGGGTGGAAGCGCCTGCCTAGGCCAAGAGGGGCCTGGTTACCCCTCATTGCGGTGGTCTGAGTCTCACAAAGCCCTCAGTGACAGTGATGGCACCAGGGGTCCAACTGTGAGCGTGAGCAGTTTTAAGGCAGGGACCCGAGAGGGTAGACTGAGGAATGACGTGAGTCTCAGCGTAGGTGCTTGAGCCCCTCCCTCAGGAGGGATATGGGGTGTTTGCCGTCCCTCTGCCCGGCGCCTGGCACACAGCGGGGGCTCCACGTGAATGAGGAACCGCATCTCCAAATCGTGTGCGTCAAGAGGGGAAATGGCAACAGGAGAAGAACCCAAAGGGGCCTGCGCGCGGCTTTGCAGCGGGGCGCGCGCCTCTGGGGACGCTGAGTCAGAGCCGGCGGGCGCGGACGCGGGAAGGCGGCGCAGACAGGAGGAGCGCAGACCCGGGGAGGGGACAGGAGGGGAGGATCATGGGGAGAAGAGGGGTAAAGGGAGGCGGCGCGGGAGGCGGCGCAGACTGCAGGAGCGCGGACTCCGGGAGGCGGGGGTTCG